ATAATCCAATCCAATCCTTAATTAAATATAATTGATTTGTAAAATTCTACTAGAACTGACGGTAAGAATTGAAGTGCAAATAAATAATATCGTGTGCAATCTTGATTAATATAAAATTAAAATATTTGCATAGAAAAATGTTTGCATTCAGACAGAAAGTTTTTTGAAATATTTGCAATTACTTTATAAGAAGGATTTATTAATAACCGTAATAATTACTTATTATATTACTGATGATTAGGATTCAGTTCTTGACAATTACATTCTAAATTAGAATTTTAAGGATATAATGAAAATACGCTACGCACAAAAAATACATTTTAGGAAAAAATGAGTTGATTTTTTATGTTTTAAAACTTCTTAAATTCATTTAATAAACATCGTATCCTCGTTGTTTAATTGAATCCAGAATGTTGGTGTCGTTTATATAATTATTCTTACTTGTCCACAGAATCTGCTGACTTATCCAGCCATTAAGTAGCTGCAGATCATTTCTACATAACCATTGAACTTCCATTAATTCAGTCTCTAGAGGGTTGTATGTTTATATCATAATTTGACTTTTATAAAAATGATTATTCTAAATCTTATGTTTCTATAAAAATATACTGTGCTTTAAAAATATGGATGATAGTATCAGCCGCTCTTTCAGCCACTTCAAAAGCAACAGTTTGTTTAGAAATAAATTATGCAGTTAATGTCATAAAATTCAAATAAATATCAAACGAAAATTCTCAGTTTTAGACAATTCGATTTAAACGAAGTAAAGTAGCAGACGATAAAACGCCGAAGGTAAAAATTTACTCTTACAAAAACTTACTCTTAAATTTTTTAAAAAAAGAAAAGATACGAGAGAAATTTAAAAAAAAATAGTTAAAAATTTGAATAATATCATCTATAATTTAAAAAAATAGCCTTTCATATAGTATTAATAAATATTTATTACGCATCATTGAGGGAAAAAAAAAATGTCATATAATTAATTCTCCGTAAAATTTTACTTGAAAGTTTAAGGTTAAAAATAGCTGTGGCAATTCAGTGTAACAAAAATCCATAGACCACATTTGGCGTTATTATCGCTCAAAAAAAAAAAGATGCCAAATTTCAAAACGCGAAAATATGTAAATTCGTGTATATCTTAGAAAATTTTGAATAAAAAAGTCTAATTTTTTGCAGATATGCTTAAAAATACACCTACTTTAAGATGATGGTAAAAATTTTATAGGTTATAATTCAAAAAAATTTTTTCGAAAAAATTTATAAAAATTATTTAAAAATAGAAATTTAAAAAATAAAACACAAAAAAAAATGGGTAAATTTTATTTGGAATGAACCTAAATTTCGAAATGTGAGAGAAAAAATAAAAAAAGTTTAATAAAAAAAGAGATATTAATAAATATTTGCCAAATTCAATTAACATTGAGGAGCTAAAATTTTGAGAGCTAATATTTTAAAAACTATTCGTACGATTTTTACAAAACTTGGTATTCTGGCATAATTTGAGTCGTAGAATCGAAATATGTAAAAAAATTGGTATGTTATTTCAGAAAAAGTCCGATTTTGTGTCAAAATATCTATGTTAGAATAGTACTATATATAAATCTAATATATATCCTAAGTCGCGCTTTCGAGACATGAAAAACGTAGTTTGAATTTTGTCAATCGGCCCAGTAGAACGGGAGATATAGCACTGTCCCATTTTTTTTTTTTTTTTTGAGCAGTGTACATTCTGTTTCTGTTAAACCGCCGGGTCGGCGTAGTTTGTGAGCGTCAAGTGGACGCAGCTGTTATTTTTAAAGTGGAATAAAAAGGGCTTTAACCTTCTTATGTGTTTGTGTAAATCTACATTTCGTAGCAGTCACTACCACAGTTGCTGACAAGTTGGGGCCACACGTTACTACAACGTTTCCTTTTAATTCTGGACAACCGCTAATTAACAAAGGGTTTCTCTGTCTTTCTTTGCAATGAATAAGTTATAATAATGATTATACAAATATTATGCGTATCTTTACGTCTTTAGCTTGAGAATTTTCTAAATCTGTAAAATGCTTTGTTAGTTGCAAACTTTGAGAAAAAGGTAGTACCATCCACATATCAGATTTATGAATGCTATGAAAGATTATTTATCTCCATTTTATATTGTGATTTAGTAAGTATATACTCGCTAATATTAAACGAGTCACTCCTTTAGAACTACAGAATTTTGTTTTGCCCATCAATGACCTCAATAAAATTTGAATTAGAATAGATTTTATCAAGTACAGGTAATGCGATCATTAAACAAAGGAAATATCAACAAAATAAAAAGAAGTGAAATATATTTACTGCAATGCAAGTGAAAAACGTTTTAAGCTATTGAGACATTCAAATTTCTATAAGCGAATAACTTAAAATGTTTACCAAAATAAAAACTTGGTGGGAACCATGCAAATGATTAGCATTTCACGACATACGCACATTACAAAGCAATAACATCACGAAGCAAATAACATCTCGAAAAGCAATAACATCTCGAAGCAGTTTAAAAGGGAAGACTGAACACTTGTTTTTCTTTCTGAAAGCAATTTTGTGTTGGAAATCTTGTTATGTCTCGTGTATGACGATGGAACTCATACCAGCACGTCTCAAAATTTGATCGCGGGCAACTACTGGTATTGCAGTTTATCGTATCGTGAAACAGCTGCTCAAGTTAGCCAAGATCCAAGGATTGTTATGAAAGTTTGCAACCGGTTGGTCGAGGAGAGTCAAACTGAACCTCACATGGGGGGATGTCAGCAGCCTCCACTCTACCAAGAAGTGCTTATTGCATCGTAAAGTCCGTATCAATGTGTGAATGCTTCGAGGGGAACGAAAATAAGAAGCTTGAATTATTTATCATTACATCGGCCCAGAACTTGACCTGATGGTACGAAATATTGTTGCGTATACATTCGTTTACCTATCACCCGTATATCTGATTCTTTCAACAAGTTTTAATACCTCTCTGACTGTGCCATACCTTAGAGGCCTCCGTCTTCAACTTTCAACGAGACAGTTGCAAAGCCTACTCAGTTTTGCTTTTCTGATTACGTAGGGTAATGTAATGTAATATACGAAAGCGCTGCAGCCCTCCTGGCTGATAATAATCGGCATTATGGTTAACGCAGCACACCCGACAAGGACAAACAAAAGTACAGTTAAAAGATTAAAACAAAAAATTAAAACGCAGATTAAAACAAAAATACAGTTAAAAGCATCAAATCAAAATTCCCAGTTGCGACAGGTTGGGAAAAAACATGGCTACATAAAGGAATTTTACTGCCGCAATAAAGAGTCAATACGTAGGGTATCTGACTCCTGCACTGACAGGATTTCTCCCCAACTGAAAACACCTGGTGAATGATTACACAGAATGGCATGAAAAATTCCACCAACCAGTACGATATATGAACACTGACATAGAACTGAAGCCACATGCATCTGAATATCTCTACCAGGGCATGGAGTATCTATTTGGCCAGGCATGGGGTAAAGTGGATTCACTCTATGCCTGGCCATATGATAAATGCTATTTTTTTATATGAGGTATATCTCGAGGTCCAAATTCTACGTATTCTGTATCTTAAAATTACCTGAAATTTTAATCATTTTGTCCTTTAATTATATTGTATTTGTGAAAGAAATATGATGTTTCTAGCTGCTCTCTTTTATGCTGCAACTATAAAAGCTAGAACATGTTTCATGTACTATTTTAATATTCCATGCGTGTTTCAAACACTATTTTAATATTTTTCAACAGCTGGGCTATAAACCTTGATTTTGGCTCTCTAAAGAACTAAAGTTTGTATTTTTGATAAAATATGGGAAAAGGAGGGGCTTTTAGTAATATAAGCTATTGCTTTCCAGTATTCTTCTGCGTATATTTTCCTCTATCCTATTAATTTAAATAGAGATTATGCAGTTAAAATACTTTTGTTTCCCTAAAACAAATTACAAAACACAATTTTTCCAGTTATACTACGAAATTAATTTTTACTTGCACAAAACTTATTTCTGTTCAACTAGGAGTAAAATGATTATTTTTTCAACTGTAATTAAACTAAAATATTAATTTTTTTATTGATGTAGAAAAATTAAGATTAATAAAACGTTACATATAAAGTTTTTTGTTTATAGTTTAAATTAATTTTCGATTTTTAATAAAATACGTAAATAACAATAAAAAAGATAGTAAAATGTAAACAATTATTTATTAGCAGTTATGTGTGATAACTAATATCCCACATAACTGCTATTTGTTATCGGAAGAAGAACAAACAGTAGTTCCAGATACAAGGAATCTCCGGAACTAGAGACCGGTTTGTTATTCAAGTTTACCGTATTTATACGTGTACTAAATTAAACTCTATTTTTCAACCAGTATTACTAATGTGAAAGTAAATGTAAAAAAAAAAATTTTTTTTTTCTTTACTAATAAAGATAATGCATCACAAAGATGAACTATAATTTGATTAAAGTTTATTTTACCTTAGCCAAAATTTTAAAGATTATTGAACTCATAGGCTTCAGACTTTAACTTTTATTTTAACATCTGATATTATTAATAAATTAAAACAATTCTTTAGTTCATGAAACGTTCCTCCCACACTATATAAAACTAATCCATAAAATTAGGAAGCTATTTTAAAAAAGCTTGCATGTTTCAAATACTAATTTAATATTCTTCAAAAGCAGAGCCATGAAATTTGATCTTGACTTCCTAAAAAGTTAAAAGTTATATTTTCATGGAAAAAAGTCTTTTTTGTTCTGTTATAAGCTATTGCTCTCTGTAATGTAGATTCTTCTGTAATATAGATTATTTATACGAAAATGTTTGTACTTCCTTTCTTATTATGAATGTTATGAAAAAAATCAGATACTTATACAAAGAAGAAATAATTAAGCAGCATTTTGAATAACATTCATACATATTTTTCGATGCTTTTCAAGATTCCGTTTCAAAAGTTTGATTTCAATTTTAGCGTAAAAGAAGTTATATGTGGGGGAACTCATCAAGAAGGAAACTGGAGCAGAAAAGTTGATCCTAAGGACAGAAAACACATTTGGAATGGATGCTGCGAACTTATTCCTAGTTTAAAGGTAGTAAACAAAAAACGTTACTTTTAACTTTTTTGTTTTTATTTTTGACAACGCATTTTCTTGACGTTGCATTTATCGAATGAACTGTGATATCGACAATATATCTGTCAAGTCTCTTCTGGTAGTCTATATTTCGCTTAGCTTGTAAATAAAAAATATTTAGTTCAAAAATTCTTTTGCCAAGAATTTATTATGTCGTGACAAATGCATAAATTTGACTCTTTTTTTAATTCTGAAGTTTCTTAACTTTGAAGCCCCACTACTACGAATTAGCCCTACTACTGCGAATTTACTTCACTGGTGCAAGGGTTGCCTGTTATAAGAGAAGTTTTTCTAAATACGAATCAAATAAAAAGCACCTAAGATCTGAAAATCAATACCTTGCATTTACGAAATCTTAACGGTACTGTATACAGAACATCAACTGGGGTGAGGAAACAAATTTTTAGAATGTCATCGAAGATATTACTAATAGAAAAACGAATAAATTAATCCTTTAGAATATGATATTTTATGGATGTTTTGGTATGACAAAATCTCTGGTTACGTCACTGATTCTATATTATACTGGGAAGCTACTTCAGAAATTGTTACTTTTATTTATCGCGGCTCAAGTTCACTTAACTTAGTCATTTTCTTTAGATTTTAACAATGCATTCATTTTTGAGTCACCAGTGTACTGAGTGATAATTTGAATGATCGGTACCACTAAAGGAGGTTTTAGACTTGAAAAAAAATGCTGAGTCATATTTATAAAAATGGAGCAATACATTAAAAAGTGATGGTTTAATAGAGATTTGTGGGCTTCATGCAGCCCATCAGGTCCTTTTCTTCGGCATATAGGTAGGTTAAAGAATGTGTCATTATAATTATTTTCTGCTGATATCAGAAAGAATATACATTTTCATACTTTTAGGAATTTTCAGACCGCTTTAGAACTTCTTAATATAAGCTGACTGATAATTACTGAAAGATGACTTTAGTGAACTTGTTTTTCGTATTAGCATTCTCGTTAATCTTTATTACATTTGATAGATTAAAACTTAAGGACTTAAATATTCCAATTAAAAATGCATTCCAACTAGCATTTTATTATTATTATTATTATTATTATTATTACCACTACAATCTTATATTTGGCCTCTAGGCTGTTCATGGCGAATGAATTTAGAGTAAATATAATTGCTGTCTTTAAATAATTGTGTTAATCATTTTAGCACATATTCCTAAACTTTGGCTGAACGAAATATATTATTTAACAGCATATATTTGAAACTAGTCTTTATGTCTATTATATAGAACATCCCACAGAAAGAGCGATGTCATTACATAGCATATTTGGTGGCTAGACGACACAATTTACTCTAGAATGATTTCGGTACACCGCATCATTCAAGAGATACGCAATTCAAATTTCTGTGATGTCACTACGAATCTAGCGAATAAAGATATACTGTGACGTAACTGAAGGCTTACAATGTACGGCATGCCGTTGTGTTATCATAATAATAGGTGAGATGGCTGCCTTAGTCTTGGGTTTGGTTCCCGAAGAAAGCCGGGGCCTTTCCAAGTATATGGTGTTTTCATGGCTTGGGGGTTTAAATACTTGGAAACGTTTCGAGAATTTGGTATCAGGGCAAGAGAGGGTAAGAGACATGCCGATCCGTCTTCCGGCACGTTCTCCTTCGAAACTGGGGTGGTGCTTTTTTCTTTTGGCTGTTGTAATGCGATCGCCTCCTAAGGTGAGTGAGTGAACGCCACCAAGGAAGACCACTGACCTGGCCTTAGCCTCACATTGTGTTATCTTCCTGGCAGAAACCATCTACTCTCTGCTCCACCCTGCTTCGGGAACGCAGCCGAATAGACGGCTAAGAGCCTCATAAAGTCTACATGTAAGCTTGGATATTGTTGTTCGGGGAAAAAGTATCCTGTAGGAACTGCTTAAATTTAAGCAAAGAAGCAATCAAAACAATGTTAAGAATCGCTGTTAAAACTGACAGAAACTTGTGTTAGATAAAGTAAAGAAAGGAGGACTCTGCTTGAAAAATTAACTGCCGTGGACTTTTTGGACTTGCTAAATGTCTACGTGCGGATGCTAATCCTGACACAACTGTCATATATTTATTGGGGTTTTGTAAAGTCGTCGGCCCCTAAGGTGAAGCTTTGCAATGTTATTGGCCATGAGACTGCTAAATAATCAGCGAGCTTCTCTTGATGAATCCTTAGCTAGCAAAGTGCCCAGCCGTTGGGAGCGATGTACCGTATGATATAATCCTATAATGAAAATTTAAATAGCCAACCATTGACCTCAGTGTAAGTGGCATTGAATCACTGGATCAAGTACTGGTTGACACATACAAAGATGTCTGCATGTTCAAACACTGTTTATGGGTAACTGAATGTGCACAGTAAATTTCTTTTGTTGTGTTCAATTTGTGGATGTCCTTTCATTCGCCAGCCCAAAACGACATTATGCGATTTCGAAATCGAGTATCATGAACTATGCATTTAAGTAATTCCAACGGTATTTTTTCCCAACTGCCTGAATAAACCAAGTGATGCTCTACACTAGTTTAGACTAGCTGCGCACTTTTTCTGGAATACCCTGTATGTACTTGGCCACTTCTGAATTCAAATTAAGATGTTTTCTGCTAAGAAAGTATCAGCGAGCAAAAATTAACTGCTGATTACGTTTTTTATGCTGTAATCGGAAGGCAAAGCTGATTATTTTTAACAATTTGAAGAATTTTTTAAAACGTTGTTGAAGAAGAGACAAACTTTGAGTAAGCTGTGACATGACACAGACGCTAAAAATATTTAGAAAAAATTTGATTCAAATTCCAGTATATTATTTAATATTGTATCAAATGCAGACGTGCAGGAAAGAGATTGATGGGTGAAACTATAAATGATTTTACTTCAAAGGATTTCCAAAAAAAACTAATTACAGAGTTAAAATTTAAAATAATAAAAATTTAAAAAAAATGCTTGCATGTTTAGATTTGATCTTCAATTATTGCGTACAAATTCACTAAAACATTTTTTATTATTTTGATCTTATCTTGAATACATAATATGAAAGATCATTAAGTTTATAAATCCTTTTATTTAACACCTCTTCAATTAGAAGGCAAAAGTACTGAGGGAATGGGTTGGACTGAGACCTGGAAGACCAAAACCCCGTTTGGAAAGAGAAACTCAGGTTTTAGGAGAAAAAGTATTAGAAGTAAGTACTTTTCGTAAAATTTTATAAATTAAAAGTTTATGAATTAAAATCTGTAACTTTTGAAATTGCATACCTTATTTGAAGATTTTAAAAATGAATGAAACTTAGTAACAAAGTAAATAAATAATATTTCCATTCAATCATAAATTGTGTGAATAACAAGTATAAAATAAATTGTTAATTTATTACTGCTTTCAGTTTTTTTATTTTTATTTATTTATTTTGTGTGTGATTTTTGGTTAATGAATTAGTCTGACTGATAATTCAACCAATATCCTCTGCAGATTTTCTATCGCTGAACTGCGCAGGAGAGACATTTGAACAAAATACTAGTAAAACTGATCAAATCTGTGAAACAAATTAAGAATGCTTTGTATGTAACTGCCTGCAGTCAGCTACATGCGGGAAGTAAAAACACGAATGCAACTTCCCAAAAATGAGTATGCGCAGACGTCACGCACACAATGTATGCAGCTATTATATTAATAAAAGGCAATTTCATCTAGAAACGTTTTCTTCCAGAACTAGTTCGAATATCAGTTTTCTAGGCGCTTAAACTATGTTCCATTAAAAATTCCATTTCTTAGTTTATATGATTTTAACTAAAACATTTTGATAAAAAATTATTTTCTCTCAATAATAAATGCGCATAATATTCGTAAAATTGAACGAAATTATTTTATTCAAATACCAGTCTGAGGAAATCGTTATCAAAGTATATTTTTATTCAAAAATTTTACGTGGATTATGTAATTATTAGATAAAACTGAAGTCTGAATTAGAATGCGAAATTTTTATATTGCTATTATTAAGGTGTAAAATATGGCGTCTGAGTTTGATAATAAGAAAGTAATTAAGACACAATAACATGCCGAATAAATACTAATTCAGAAGACAAACAACAAAAATCAGCGTTATATTTACAAAATTTTCGCAGCAATAGTTTCGATGGTTTTACCGAACCACCATCCTCAGCTGCAAAACCGCAAATGAACAAGATAGGAAAAAATGATTAGATAAGATAAGAAAGCCTGGACAAGAATAAGCAAGTGGCGCCATCTGTTGGTGAAACCAGAACTAAAACATAATTTCTTTAAAGGCCGAAGGCAAATTTGTATTGGAATTAGGATCGTTAACTAGAACAGAAAGATTTTTATGAATGTGAAATGCCTCTAGAAAATCCAGTTCTCCAATGGAAGATATTTTTTTGAATAATTTTGGCAGCAGAAAAATTGAAAGTGTGATTTTCGGACCAACAATGTTGCGCAACAGAAGACTTCTGTGTTTCCTTTTTTCTAACATATGCCTCATGTTCCTTGAAGCGAAATTTTAAGGCTCTCTTAGTTTGGCCAATGTAAATTAACCATACTGGCAAGGAATCCTATAAATACCCCAGGAATTCATATCCGGAATGGGGTCCTTGAGTATGGAAATCGGAATTTTTTTGATGGGAGAATAAACAACCCAAAAGTTAAATTTCTGCAAAATATGTGCAACTTTATAGCTAATTAATGGAAAGAAGGGAATGACAACAGAATTTTTATAATCTCCTAAAACAAGAGTGTGCCTTTTAGTGTGTTGAGATGATAATTTTTTAACTGCTTGATTAATAATGTTGGGTGAAAAGCCGCTGCCAATAGCTATTGCTTTTAAATAATTTAGTTCTTCATCAAGGGCTAGTTTAGAGGAGCAAACTTGAAGAGCAAGGAAAACATAGGAATAAAATGAAGCTAACTTTTGTTTAGTCGGATGACATGATTTAAAGTGTGGTGGAAGGCAAACCGATGAAGGTTTACGGTAAACCGTAGTACTGAAATTGGATGTGTTACGTGTGACCAGAATGTCGAGAAACGGAAGAGAATTGCAAGTCTCAAGTTCAAAAGTGAACTGAATAGCAGGATCAATAGAATTCATTGTTGAAAGAACTTTATTTAAATCATCTGTATTACCTTCAAACAGGGTAAAAGTATCGTCTACGTAGCGGAACCATGCCGGGAAGTTTAAAGTTTCAAACAATTTTGATTCATAATAATGCATGTAGATATCAGCCAGGATGGGACTGAGGGGGCTTCCCATGGCTAATCCCTCAGTTTGCTTGTAATAGTTATTTTGGAAAACAAAATGTGTTTGTTTCAAACAGAGTTGAGTGAGAGAAATTAGCTCATCAATTTCGATGCAAGAGAAATGAAATTCGCGAAGTCTGGTTTCTAGACATCTTAATGCACCCTCCACTGGGACATTGGTGAATAATGATTTTACATCAAAAGAAACCATGAGTAAATTACTAGGAGAAATGTTTTTAACTATTTTTACAAACTCTATTGAATTTTTTATGGTGTAAATGTTATTGTCTAATAGAGTGGAAAATTTAGAAAATAAATATTTAGCTAAAGGATACGAGGGGCAGTACCTAAATTTGATACAATAGGGCGGAAAGGAATACCACTTTTATGAATTTTGGGAAGAGCATATAATCTGGCACAATTCGCAACAGATGGGATAAGCGAATGTTTTAAGTTGCTTGAAATGATTTGCGAAGATTTGATCGCAGTTTTTATTTTTGACAAGTCGGAAGGTGAAGGATCTTTAGGATCGGATTATATGGTCCTTCGTTTAAGAGTTTAGTGACACCATCAATGTAAGTGTTCTTATGCATAACGACTATCTGGCCACCTTTGTCAGCCTTTGAAATGATAATATCCGGGTTAGAATGAATTTCGCGCATTGTAGCTCTTTCTTTCGCAGTTATATTTGGTTTCAAAGGTTTATTATTGAATTTCACATTATGAGCGATAAGATGCCTAATCATTTCTTTCTGTGAATCTGAAACTTTACTGAACTTGAAAGCTTTTTCGATAGGAGCCAAAATCTTTGGAATCGAGGGTTTACAGGTTTGTGAGAAGTTAAAATTATATTTTAGAATTCTCTCTTGTTCTTCTGAAAGACTAACATTAGAAATATTAACTATTGGCTTGATGTTTACAATGGGAAGATTTTTTGAACTACTTGGACTGGAAGACTGTAAAAGGAGTTTTTCGAATTTAACTGCAAGGGTGTTTTTATGACGGTTAACCGTCAAATTTGGCGACAAAAATTAGTCGCCGAAACCACTGCCAGCTTGGCGATATCTCACCAGTTCAGCGAGACAGCCATTTACCTCAATGTTAAATGGACTTGTCCCTGTAATTTTAAATTTCCGCCATAGCTTCATCTCTTCAGATTTTTTATGTTGCATTATAAAAAAAGGTGCTATAATTTTAAACATAACTTCACTAAAATTATTTAGATATATACAAAACTTGGTAGCAATATTTTTCTCAAAAACAATTATATTGTTAAGGAATTGCAGCACGGAATTTTACCCCTGTCGTAAAATGCGGTGGGGGGGACTTAGCTTATATTTTTGAATAAAGTTAAAAGCCAGAGTAATATTTGATAACAGAACGGTGTTTTATCGCATTCTGCAATTGAGTTACTGAAACTTGTTCAGTTTCCAAGTTATTTTTTCCTTTCAATAATCAAATTTGAAGTGAACTTTTACAGAAATTTTACTCCTGATTATAAATTTTTGGGATTACATGATATCCTTTCTTCAGTGTGGCTTATACTCGTATCATGCAGTCTGAAAACGTATTTAGTATTGTGATGTTAACTTGCTCGAATCCTTGGCATTATTTAGCACTTAGCTTAGAATGTAGAGATCAGGAGTTCTCAATCGGGGGGGGGGAAGATTTTAAAGTCTCAGGGAAAGGAGAATGCGATTAGTCTTTCATTTACCTGCTAAATTTTTCTATGCTTTTTGCTTGTTTAATTTACTAAACACATTAAAGAAGAATCTAAATTTAAATAAATATACATGCATATTTTGTAAAAAGGTGGTGGAGAATGATCGTCTAGCAATGGTGAAAGGGTGCATGGGATAAAAAAGTTTGAGAACCACTCATGTAGGCATTTCAGCAAAAATGCACGATTCATTTATTTATTTATAATATTTTACCCTTTGTTCAGTGAAATATCCAACATTATGAGTCTGGAAAATAAATAGTCATTTAGAGTGTTAGTGTATGAAATTAAATTTCAGAAAGGCTTTCCATGATTTAGAATGAATAATTATAAGAATTTAGAATAGCCAATTTAGGTACAAATCTAGTCTAATTGTGTGCTATTGAAGTTTCATGATAACGGTATTAGTGTTTCAAAAATGAGTATACAGTCTCGGGGTTTTCCTGTCACCAAATATGATGCACATTTCTCATTTAGTTTCGTAATTATGTTATGCCAGCGAAATTTCTATAAAACAGCTCAGAATAAAAACAGCTTATCAGTTACACACTTTCTTTTTGAAATTAAATTCCTTAGTTTCCTTCCTGTTTTGGGGTATCGATAACAAGCAAAAAATAAATTTCAGCTGCTTAGCTTGTAGAATTTTTTGTCAATTAACCAGTTATGATCTGAACCTTTGCTTTAACTTCTTTCCGTAGTCCTCACCAAAATGCAAATTAGTTATATTGCGTATTTAAGCCGAGGTTTTGATTGTTTCAGTTTAGAGATTCTGACAGCAGCAAAGTTTTATTCCGGTATTACCATTCTGCTAATCTACGTCTAGAATAGTCCCCGTTAACTATCTTCAGCCATGCTAAGTAGCCTATTTTAGTCTCAGACTACGTTACTTAAATATGAATTTAACTTCATCTTATGCTATTTTAAATATCCGCAAATAGCGGAGGTTCATCTGTTAATTTAAAGGGTTAAATAAAAATGTATTTTAACCTTCTTACGACTTTATCTTTGCATCAGACAAAAGCGATAACTCTTTTTTTCAGTCTAGTAGGTTCTACATACAGGACAAAGAGATAATTTCTAGACATAACAGAACCCTACAAGCTTGGTGCTGTAATATCAGTTCTTTTTTTTTTTTTTTTTTTTTTTTTTTGTTAGTTTTTCTTTTAATACGAATAATATTCTTCTGCTCAATAAAAATTTCCTTTTTTTAACAGTCTTTTGTTTACAGCGAATTTAATAATATTCCATTACCGCTCCCTCAGGAAAATTACTTAAGAGCTGTTGTTACTGATACTGGTTGTCTCATTTCTGGTGTAGACAAAGTCTTTATAACGCTTTCCCTTTAATAAATGACTTTCTTCACTAAACAACGAGCTGGATTTTATTATCACTATATTTTCGCCTTTGATTAGCTACTTTAAAGTTGATCAGTTTCCCACAGGTTCAATTTCTGGGTTATTTTCCCTTCTGTTAATCAAATTCCCAGATATGTCCATACAAAATTTGCATCAGACATACATTTTGGGTATCTTACATAACAGAGTTGGCCAAACTTCATGTCAGTAAGAGCCACACGTTTAAATTCAGGATTGTTCGACAGCCGCATCTAGATTTTCTAAAAGCCACAAGTTCATATTTACATCATTATAGAAATAGTGGAGGAGGCTTTAAATAGAAAGAAATCCCTGTTGACTTTGTAAAAAGAGTCTAAACTAATTAATTACTTCCTTTTGGACTCTGAATAGTTTTCGCTCACCATATTTCATACATATATTTTATATGCATGAGCCGCATAAATTGCCTGCGAGAGTATCAGGTTCGCGAGCCGTACTTTGGCCACCCCTGTTATATAATATCTGTTATTACTGTGGCGTACTCAGTACCTTCGAAAATTAAAAACCATTTTAACTGTTGAAATCCGGAAAAAGAAACTATTATGAATTTTCTTTCACTTTCGTATTACGTCATTAAGATAGTTTGAATGATTACATACTTTGGGAAACTGATGATACTTTGAGAACTATCGACAGATAATGAAACAAAGAACGGATGACTTTTCCCGTGTTAAGTTGAGAATATTGATAAAACAATGCATTAATATATATTGAACAAGTTAGTTAAGCTTTAAACTAAAGCTTTTAAAGAAAGTTTCGTGTTTCTCAACATAACATCAAAGATATAAATCCCGTCCAAGAAATTGTGGTAACGTGTGGCCCCAACTTGTCAGCAACTGTGGTAGTGACTGCTACGAAATGTAAATTTACACAAACACGTAAGAAGGGTTTAAAGCCCTTTTTATTCCACTTTAAAAATAACAGCTGCGTCCACTTGACGCTCACAAACTACGCCGACCCGGCGGTTTAACAGAAACAGAATGTAAAACTGAAAAAGTAATGACTGGATGAATGAATAGCTAGATCACTATCCACGAGGCTCTGAAATCTGAACTAACCTAACCGCGTTCTAAAAATACAGCTGAGATTCAGCGAGCTTACTAATTAAGCAGTTGAAAGATTCAGCAAACTGCCGAATAGGCACACAGGCCGAAACGCGCGGTTCTTAAAATTCTACCTAGCAACCTTCACGTTCGCGATTCAAGAAGCACACTTACAAACTCGTTTCCTTTCTATTTAAACTCAACTTACTTCTGCTGAATTTGAATATACTGCGCGTTCTACTACAATTTACATACTCTAGCATTGGCAATTCTAGGGAAAAGTAAAGGCTTGACAGGAAAGATAGCTTAAAATAAATGTTAGTTAAAATAAATATAAACCCTAGAAAATAATAGAATATTAATACATCTTCCACAGATAAAAATGTTGGATTATTCTTTCAATTTTCGTTTTTTAAAATTATTTGAGTTTTATATGACAATCTTTACTTGCTAAAAAATCCGTCTATGATATTACGATTTAAATTAGAGTCCTTACTTCCCAAGAATATTTTCGCATCTTATTTCGCTATTAAGTCTATTTTTTCTTCCATTCGGATAAAGTATTTAGTTGTTATATGTTAAACAGAGTTGTAAAACGTACTTCCGTTAACAACTGCATCTGTTTAAATGCTGTTTATAATACCTATTTCTAGGTCATCCACAACTACGGACATGGAGGATCAGGAGTGACGCTGTTTTGGGGCTGTGCTCTCCAAACCACAAAGCTCCTTCTAGATGCTCTTGATGATGTGGAGACCAGAAAAAGAAAAAACCGCTCCAAATTATAAAACTTGCACTACCATCTTAGCAGTTTCGCGACAAATTTCTTTTACTGATATTTGATTAAACAGTTATTAATGCCATAATGTATGAGTTATCGTTTCCAATGCCCTACATGTATTTAATTTAATCTGACCTTGCAGAAAAACTTCACAAACATAGTTTTATGCATATTTCAAATTATTGCTGTAAAACAATGTATTTGATATATTATATATTTCTGATTTCATACAGAAATTAATTTTTGTTGTAGAATATTTGTTGACGAATAACTAGATTAATAAACGATTATTATAAGAAAGAATTTTTTAATCTGATGAAAGAATATTATTTTTTAGCTTTCACTTCTTCAAAACTAATTTGTTTATGTCTGCTTTTCATCTTAAAGACATCGAAAACAAAGTGCTATGCAGAACTTTGATATTTTCATGGCGAGAATTCACTTTTAATAATCTGCTGAAAATCAAGCCATTCTTCAATTCCTACTTAAGCATGTGATAAATACGAAAATTAAATTATTTATGTATCGAAAGCTTTTAATTTAATTTACAAAGTTGATTATATTTGTTATTATAATAGTTTTATGACTTTAGAAGATATACCCGATGACAATAAATTTTTAATTTATTGCAATGCTTATAACTGAATTTCCTTTGTGTACTGATTTTTATGATATACATTTGATAGTATTTACGATAAACAGTTTGAAGGAATACAGGGCTTAAAATTCAGGAAAGAAATACTTGAAAAGTAGGTTTTTAAGAATTATCTTAAATGTGTCAGGAATATTATGATCGCTAAAAGTTATTTTTTATATTTTAGTGCTTTTAACTAAAACCATTTACTTTAAAAAGTTCTTTTACATTCATTATTATATTATTAAGATGAAATATTTTTCTATTTTTAGTACCGTGATTGAAAAAAGTAGTCATAAATAAAGAAATATTTCATTATTAAGCAGTTTTCGATACTTACAGCTTGCTATTTAAAATTGTTAGTCAAATTTTATATGTGAATTGAATTTATTGGCTATTAGGATATAAAGGAGCTCCGTATTTAAGTAAAACGACATTTGTGTTCATTACTGGGCAATTTTTTAATGCTGATTTATAATTTACGATTTTGATACACCAGTATTTAATGCATTTGAATTAGTTAGCTTGCGATGCACACAAAATAAATTTTGTCACACCATATAAGTGTTTAGATATCTTATTGCAAGGTAGGAAAATTAATAATTTTGAAATAGCAATAGTTTTATGAAGAATTTCCAAAATGGAAGCATTTGTGATTTTTCTTTCCAGCCGTTCAATCAATCAACTCTTTAAAAAGTCTCAAAATTTCAAGATTCCGCCAATGCACTCTTTAGAAATCTCTCAGCGAAAGTCTGTGGTCTGCAAAGCTGTGAGGTGTTAAGATCAATCTGATGAAGTTTAAAGTATTCTGTGGCAAGTTAAAAATATTCATCACCCTTTATTATTTGCGATAGCCTTTGGGGCATGAATTATTTATATCTGTTTTGTCATAATAGTCAACGCGCGTTATTGATTTCTCACCGGATGTGCAGAGCGAGCAGAAAAAAATACTTCGACAGGTGGCGCTCACACCAGATTAGAGCACCCTCTGCCTGTTACTATGGCGAAGTACTCGGACGTAAAAATTCGGTGCTTAGCTTAACATGCACTTGAGAGTGACCTGAAACCAAGTTAACAGTTTCGCAAAGAGCTGTAGAACAGAGTTGTCTCAAACTGCGTCTGCATTGCACGTAGATTATCGGTCTATGGCAGAGTATTACGGTAGGGTAAGTATTGTTTGACAAAAGGTTATGGAAGTATTATGTGTTAGATTGAGTAAAATGCAATTACGTTTTCAAATGCACTTTTCTGTAACATAAAAATATAAATAACCCCACAGGATTACCACATTACGAATAACCCCACATGATGTTTAAGAATACACGCATTTGATTAATTTTGAATTTAAAAGATATTGATTCTATCGTAATTTATATAAAGGAAAGAAAAATTAAAAACTTTTTGAAGAGTATTATTTTTTAAACAATATTTACCTTTCTTCTAACCTATTTTTTAATGGGAAAAATAAAGAATTCTCTGGCTTTTAATTTAAATTGGAATAAAATTGTCTTTCCTCAAATGTAGAAGTCAAATATTATAATTCGAAATCACATAAAAAGGATGAATTCAAAAAAAAAAAAAAAAAAAAAAAAAAAAAAAAAAAAAAAAGATAGATTTATTTTCTTTTAATCCTTCTTAAAACAGTATAATTTTTATGTTTACAGTTTTATTTTTCTGCTTTTAATTGAGCACTTGCCTAAAATTTGCTGAGATTTGTGATAAATATTTACAATTATGTTTATAAATGAACTTTTGAAATGCTATGAATGCCTGAGCTCCTAAACGAGTTTAATTTTATAGTGTTTTCTTCCTGATTCAGTCATCATTGTGAGGATTATCAAGATTTCAAATAATGTTTTGGTAAATGGATTGAAATTAATATAAAATCCTTAAACTATCTGAATACTGACAGAATGGCAAGTTCTTTTTTTCATTAATTTTATGTGTATTATATTCTGAAATGAATCCTACAGTACACAAGCACAGAATCTATCAATGTGGCAACAAAGGTAGTCTTAGGGTTATTGATGGATAAGCGAAATCGAAATTACTCATCCAGAGCATCTCATAATTTAAATAAATGCTTATTTTAGTCTTAAAGAAACAGCATATTTATTTTTATATAACTTCCATACTTGTTTGAAACATATTACTTATTTTTTGACATAAAAATGAGCTAACAAGTTTTTTTAAAGAAATAAGGCTTACGTAACGCTTATTATAGAAAGTAACGTTAACAAACTCCTTGTTGCCACACGGCGAATCTTAACAACTATTAAAAAACATTACATCATGTTGCCACTTAGAAAATCTTAATAATTATATAAAAACAATAAATTATGTTCCACTATAATCTTCCGGACGTTGCAGATTTCTTATTAATTTATCAATAAAGCTGATAAAATAATTAAGATTTTGCAATGCTTTGTATTTCGATTTCTGCTATTTTTATAAGCATTTAATGCTGCTAAATAAGATAAAGCTAGAATAGTGCTGCTAGAACTCTAAATTCGTATTTTAAGTAACCATTTCAAAGAACATCTATTTTTAGAAGCTTTTCATTTGAAAAATTCTGTTCGCATTATTATTATAAGTCGCCGATCAGCGGGAGAGTGGGGCGCACAAAACGCTGGTAGTTCGACACCGGCTGAAATCCCGCGAATGGGCCCATCCATACATGTGAAAGTTTTTGTAGTTTTTCCCATGCGTATCGGGGATATGAACCAGCTTCATTTCGAAGTCCTTCATAAAGGCACCCCTTTCCTAGGCAGAAAGCCTCGCGTGCTTAGCTGTCAGTTAAATAAGCCAATGCGTTATTATCAGTCACTATCTAAAAATATCTTAACTCTTAAAAAATTTAAGCGTAAAAAGAAATGGCTAAACTTTCAAAAAATTAATTGATTTGACATTTGATTCTGACATAAAAATAAAATTTAAAGGACTATTATTGAATAAATTTTGGATCAGTTTGCCAGAAGAATATCCGAATTTATCAGATGAACTATTCATATTTTACTTCCTTTTACAATACGTATTTGTGCTTGTGCGAGGCAGGTTTTTCATATTACGCTGCAACAAAATCTAGATATAGAAATCGACTTGATGCTGCGTCTGATATATGAATTCAGGTTCCTAAAATTGTACTTGACATTCAAAGATTTAACAATTCGAAGACCGAAACACATCGAAGTTATTGAAAACTAAAAATGCTTTACTTTTTTTATATTATTTGTTTTAATTAATTAGTTTTATGTCTCAATTTTTATAAAATTCTTTTGTAGGCATAATATAAAGACTGCAATAAATATTTATTTTGTTTATCTAATAATCTGTGTTATCATTTATTGCAATTAAAAATCCAAATTTACTCTAGTGTTCCTTAAAAATTTTAGAACACAAAAAGTGTTCTGGATCAAAAAAGTTTACGAAACACTGCTGAACAGTATGATTTAAACTTCTGCATTCATTTTATAATTTCATTTATCAAAATATCCATTTATAAAACTCTACCACATTTATATATATATATATATGTGTGTGTGTGTGTGTGTGTGTGTGTGTAAGAAGAAGAAAATAATTAAATAATTAAAGAAAGAAATAATCCCTGTGCTGGAGCTGCATAGGATCATAGGACTGAATTGTTAAGAAATTATTATAATAAGAAATTTTTTTATTAAAAAGATTATCCTATTCTAGGAAAAAATTGTTTAGAGTGTAAGTATTATGTTAATTTTATGAACAGTTAAATTTTAAGTTAAAAGTTCCTTTCCTGTCGATTCTTAACTTCAACTTACTACTTCCGGCCAAAACGTAGTTTTAGAATCACGCCTGAATACATAATGAGAAAGAGCGGTATTTAACCGCGAAGTTCTTCGGTCTTATGGAGAGAGTTACCAGGTATTCTGTCTGCACGCGTCCGCCTTTTTAGGCTACTCTCTCGTAATCTATTATTAAGCTCGGCCGTACTTTAGACCCTTGATAGCTTTCCAGTCTATTAACTTTAAGGGGCCAACTCGGTTAGAATCTTGATGGTTTCGGCCTCTTTACCTTGATACATCTTTAGTTTAGTATTATTCTTAGTCTCTTAAGTACAAAGCCGGAGTGTCTGCTTTATTGTACACTCCAAGACGGAATTTGCTAAACTTTAGTTGGAATAATAAAGGGCTAGTTTACCCTTCTATCTTGTTGTTTCCTGTCACTCAAACTCAAGCGATTAGCGATTATCGCTTATCTGTTCTTAAGATTCTTCACGTTCAACAGTAACTCAGAATTTCAAAGTGAGGAATTCTACAAGGATATTGAAATAGTCTATTGTTAATTGGTATTGAAATATAAAAGACGAAGAAAATTTTTAAAAGGGAACTAAAGTTATAAAATTATATTTATGGGAGAAACAAATTAAAAAGTATTAATAACCTTCAGTTTAGTGTTTTAAATAGAACTTTTCAAGGGGTTAGTATTTAAAACATTAAACTTCGATGTTCATTCTTCCTGCCGTTATGAGATTTTAAACGTTGCTAGTTAACTGCCCACAACTGCGAATTAAATTTCTAAAAATCTCATATTGACAAGAACTACTCTGGCATACGCTTGGGACTCTACTATTTAAAAATAAACAATAAAGTAAATCCACAAGCAAATTGAATTAAATGCAAAATAATATAAAAAC